CAGTATTCAGTAATGACTTTGGTTTGCGTTGAATAAGGATCAATATTTGTTTTTGTCAACGAATCAAGATGAATATTTTCATGTATGTAAGTATCATTTGTTTTAACTTTTAAATAATAAAACTAATTCTTACTGGTAAAATTTACATAAATTGTTAGAGATTTGTTTTTAGCATTGTACAAATTAGGAAATTCCATAAGATCATATAGTTTACTTAATTTACATAAATTATTAAATTAGAGTTTTTTTTTGTTTTTACAACCAAACTATATATTAATCAAAAAACACCATTAGAATTGGTAATCCAATTCGGCGGCAAATAACTTATCGTTTTGGATATATTAAATTAGAGATTTATGTTATCCAAATTTTAGTTGTATTAAATATACATATTCATATCCGTTATACTCCTATTTAATGTAACTGATCCTTTTGGATATATGTTGCATGGAAACTTTATTTGTTATAGGTTTTATACACCAAAATCAGAATTGGAATCATAATATCTTGAAAGCGTTGTGGCAACGCGATTTCAAAAATTACCAAATTGGAAACGTCATGGAAGCGTTTGATTCCATTTTGGAATCGCAACGGAAACTTCTTTTTATTTTTGAAAAATAATTTTTACTTTTTGAGCAGAAAAAAAAAAGACAAAGATCAAGTCGAGAACAGTGGAAGTCGTCGTCAAGCGAACATCTTTCCTTTCCGACGAGAAAAAAGTCGGAAAATCAAACAAAGATGATGAGAGAAAAAGTCTTCGGTTAGATTTAAGATTGACGATCCTTGAATTCACCGAGCGATTTGAGAAATGATGTGGAACTTGGTATAACGCACGAAGTAATGTGATCTTCTAGAAATTTGGATTTGAAGCATATCTGTTTTTCTTTTAGATCAAACTGAAACATTCATGTAAAATTAAGTAAAGATATTCAAATATTGTCTGAAAAAAGTTTCAAATATAATACGTATTAAGGGATAAAAAAAAAGTGGATATTTCTTTCGGTATTAATTATTTTAGAGTATGAAATTTTTTTCATTTTCTTAGTCATCGAGAGTGGGCGGCTACAAACCATCCCATATTATGGTTTATGAGATTCGTGAGTTCAGCTGCCCTTGAAGC